ATGAACGACCGTGAAGGCATCTGTAGGTTAAAAGAAACAAAAGAACGAGGCAGTAGGAAGAAGGCAGCGGAAGTCAGAGGAGGAGGAGGTGACAGTGGGGACAATGAGAAGGGAAGGAGAATGAGACAGCAGGCCGCTCGCTCTCCGGGTCAGCGTCTGCCGAGGGCAACGTTCCAGTGAGAGGCAGCACACGAGGGACCCAAGTGGGCAAGCAGCTTGAATGGTGCTGTGAAGGAGCCCATAAGCGCAGTGTGTGGCTCAGTTACCGTCTCAATGCCAGGGCCAGCGGGGGCGGGGGGGGTGGCCATGCCCCCTGCAGAGCGCAAAGGGCTCATCTCAGTTGGGGGGGAGGGGTGGCAAGAAAGGAAGGAAGGAAGGAACATAAATAAAGGTATAAACAGGAAGAGGAAAAGTTGCAGATGGTGGTGTGACTTCCAGAGCAGGTGGCAGTGGAACAAGCTGGACAGATAATGGGGGAAAAGGTGCCTGATGGAAGAATATAGGGGCTGAACTGAACAGTGACGGGTGGGTAGAGGAAGAAATGGAAAGATGGGAAAGAATCCTGGATATAGACCATCAGAGGAAACAGGGAGGGGCGCCGCCCTGCTGGACTTACTCTTCACCCCCTTCTTGCCCTTGCGCTCTTTTCTGTACTGCTCCTTGAGTTTGGTTATCAGGCCCTGGTCCACATCCCAGGCCTCTGACATGGGACACTGTTCTTCCTTCTCTAAATGGGGCAAACAAAGCAAGAAGCTCTTCAGGCCACTAGGCCAGAGGACGAGGCGCCCTGTCGGGACGCGGACAGACTGGGGGAGCGCTGTCACTGAAGTGCCACCAATAGGTATATTCAGCAAGACATCCGACGCCTCTCACAGGACAACTAATGGCAAAAAAGTTGACAACAAAGCATGTGTACAAGCACACAAGGAGTGGGTAAATAAAATGAACAGTGTTCGGCAGAAGTACACAGTGAGGGCCTCCCTCCTTCACACTATGCAGTGAGGACCCCTCCTTCACACTGCACAGAGAGGACCCCCTCCTCCTTCTGACTGGACAGCAAGGACCCCCCTCCTACACACTGCACAGCGAGGGCACCTCTCCTTCACAGTGAATGGTGAGGACCCCTCCCCCCTCTCCCACACTGCCCAGACAGGTCCCCCTCCTTCTTCACACTGCATGGTAAGGACCCCCCCCCCCACTTCTTCACACTGCATGGTAAGGACCCCTCCCTTCAAATGAGCCTTGAAAACATTGAGAAACACTGTGCTGTGCTTTTGCCAAAGGTCAGCTACCTTAGACTAAAGCCCTAAAGCCCTACAGCCCTACAGCCCTCAGCCTAGAGTGGGGGTGGGGCACCAGCAGTGACATTCAAACTCCACCCCCAACCCCCCACAAACTAACCAGCTTCTGGGATTCAAGCCATGCTCACATGCAAATGATTAGGTGGCACCAGGAAGGTTGCTACAGTACATTAATCACCATGGCGACCAGACTCATGATAATACACCATTACATCCTGACAGCCCTTAGCCATCACTTTCCTGTCCAAGGTCCAAGTGACCTTTCTTACCGTATAAAGGCCCCCCCACTGCTGCTGGCTCATTTTTCAGTTCTCTACTTTAGGAAAGTGAGCTCAGCTTGACTGACAAGCCCATGAAATGTGCTAATTCCATATTTGCTACGCTTTGGTTGGAAACATAGTACGGAACCCAGCTGTAATCTCCGCAAGCACTGCTGCAAAGGATTATGGGATACAGGGAGGTGTTAACCTTCATGAATCAGCAGTGAAATCAACAACCAAACAAATCCCAAGCCCTGGTACTTACAAGTATAATTTGTCTGTGATGTGGGATACATCAAAATCTAATAGACATGGATGAAAAATAAACCGACCTGAAAAAACCCACTGAAATCAGCTCGACTTAACTGTGTGCAAGAGCTGCAAAGCTTTAGATACGATTCATTGTCTGTTTACATAAAGCATCATGACAGATGCAGACAGGGATGGAAACTCATGGCATCTCTGTGTACACGCCTAAAGCAGACCAGTGATCTGCAGCCCTCCAGTCTTCCTGATCCCATTATGCCCATTATGTCCCCGTCTCACCCCAGTCGGTCCCATCTCCGGCGCTCCTGGACTCCGGCGAGCCGTCCAGTTCGTCGGGGCTGGTCAGGAAGTCGAAGCCCTTCAGCGCTTCCTCGGTGTCGGGGTCGTCGCTGATGTCCGAGGACGATGGCGAGGAGGGCGCCTTCTTCCGCACGATCTGTAGAAGGTGGTTGGGTAATTGATGTAAACCTGATCTGCTGCTGCAGCACACGGCTGAACTCCACGCATGGCCACCTATCGCCCCGCAGGCCGGCGGCCCCATCGAGGCTCGCTCTCTCACCGTAGAGGAGTCAATGATGGTCTTGTCCCTCCCCTCGCTGTCGTCGTCCTCGTCCTCGTCACTGAACTCAGCCGCAGCGCTCTCGATGAACTTGAACGCCTCCAGGACAGACGCAGAGTCTGACAGGTCGGGCTTCCTGAAGGCGTATGGGGGGGGGGGAGGGGGGTTAGCGCCGTCGTGTGACATCGAGCCCTCCCTTCCAACAGCTTCTGAAGGCTCCCTGCCAGTGTCATCTCTGATTGGCTGACTTTATAGCCAATGTGATCCTCCTTCCCCTACGGGTTCATGACCACCAATCAGACCCTCCAAAAACCTGCAGCATCTTGGCTGACATGAAGCAGAGAGCAAGCTAAAAACCCAGAGAAGAAATGAAACTTTTGTTCAAAAGTATCTAACGCTACATGTACACCCAAATAAGTGATAAAGGCTCCAGGAATCATGCTCTCCAAATGCTGTTTTGCCCATTAGCGTAGGATGCATCAATGTAGCAAATTAGCTCTTGTAATGGTGAGAGGACAGCTGCAGGCAAACGATAAAATCAGGTGGGGGAAAAACGCTGACAGTCGCAGAATTTTTACTGTAGCTAATGCTAAATGCAGCAACAGGTGAGTATTTTAATTCAAACTACCATCCAAATGGAGGCTAGATTTCCATTTACTTGGATGAGATGCATATCACAGAGAATTCACAATGCACATTACCACAGCCGAACTGTCCCCAATCTGATATTGTGTATGAGTCCTGAGAAAAGGGCAGAACAAAAAGCAGGACACAAGAGCCACACAATATCGTTGTGATATTTCAGATGATGTCCTCTAGCCTCATTGTTCCCGGTGTCCAAGCAGCCAACCTAACGGCCATCCGAGTGAGGAAGACAAGTGTGGATGAAGGATGTCAGAGGAAGAGCTGCAGTTAAAAGCAGGGAATCACTACTGTTATTTTTGCTATTTAGCTTATATTTACTGTTTTTATTACTATTTTGTTTTTACATACATGTGACTATAGAATGTCTTACTTTCACTGCAAAGCTGACTGTATAATGTTCAAAAAAATACATATAAACACAAATCCATATTATCTGTTTAGTAATTGGTGTTTAAAGTGTTCTACATCATGCGGAAATTGATGTTTTTCAGTGTTCAGGATATTTTTGGAAGGTTAATATGTGTTTCTTGGATGGACCTGCAACAAATTTGAGCTAATGGAAATAGCTATAATAATATTCAAATTTGTGCTGTTGAAGCAGTTTGTAGGAAGCAGTTACCCACAGATAACAGGGTACACATGTCAGTCCACATGTGACAGGCACATGACATGCATTGATATGGTCCAAACAAACATGCCTACCTGCAGAGGCCTTGCGAGGGCTAGCAACTGTCAGTGCACATTCAATTACCGTTTCCAAGGAAACTAAATCGGGTGATGTGTCTCAAAGCTTGAAGAAATCATGTCAGCAATGCAAGGCGACAGTAGGCAAAAACATATATAATAAAGCCATGGAGGGAGAAAAGGGAGGGAGCGCATGGAGGAAGGGTGGAGGGAGAATGAAGGGTGCTGCGTGCAATGCCGCGTGGTTTGTTTTTTGTTTTTTTTTCTCTCTGTTTTTCGTGCCTTCCTTTCTTTTAGGCCAGCCCCTTCAACCCGATTTGTTGCCTTGTCCATAGACGATTGGCCGATGGTCCCTACTGCCGCACAGTGGCGGATGGCTTCGGGAGTTCCCGCCTACCGACCATAAGAGGACGCTGGTGGCCCGGATGCGAGACAGAGAGACTTCGTGAGAGATTAGTGCATTGGTTGTATTGTTCAGTTTATGCTGTTTGAGACTAAGAATAATGCTTGTATATACTAGGAATGCAACGGTACTTGGTAAAATACCAGACTGTTCGGTACGCGCTGCACGGTCCGGTACGCCCTTGTGTACCGCGGTATTTCGGTTTTGCACTTCCTTTTGAAAATGCCGATTAATGCTTATCAGGCTGCAGTTAAACAGTAAGCGCCAATGAGCGAAAGCCCTCCACCGTGAGTTAATGTCCAATCACTGTTGTGGCTCCACCCACTCGCCCTCTCACACTGACGTAACTGGAGCTGAGCTCGCAGCTCGGTACGCAGACGCAGAAAAAAAGAAAAACAAACAAGTATGGCCAGCACTAGCGGAACAGTTGAGAGGCAGAAGTTTGAAGAAGCACCGGCTTTGTACAAATGT